ACATAAACAATGGCATTATAACCACGCAGATGAGCGGCAACAAGGCCGATTGTCCTTAATGACAACAATGTGCAAACTGTTTTGCAACAAACGAGAAACGGAAAGTGGCAGCGGCAACAACACTAATAACAACCATCCACAATGGCAATATTGTTGCTCTTGTGCGAATTATGGACATGCGTGTGAATTGCAGCCATGTAAATTGAAACCGTGACACGCCCATTACCATTTCGAACGCCTCCAGCCCCCTGCCGCCACACAGACAGCAAACAAACGGTGCGGTTGCCTCCGCTGTTGACAGTCGGCGATTCCAGATAAGCATTTCTTTCGGTAACTGTCATATGTAGAAATTAATCAAATTACATTTAACATAAGGTTAAAGTTTTAACCAGCCAAAGAATATTTACTTCTGTAGATTTTATCGAATAAGAGGTGGCAGTCAAATAATGCCTATTGAGAAAATCAACATCAGTTAGTAAGTAAACTTTTTGCACATTTTTAAAAGAACTAACACAACTTAAGACACTTAATTAACTAACACAACAAGAAATCCAGTCCTTACATTTTTAAATATTTAAATAACTTTTTGATGCACGTTAGTGCTATGCTTAGCTTTTAAACTTTTAAAAAATATTTAATGCTAAAGGCTACTTATGGTAAAAATTCCAGAAAAAATTTCGTAGATGTTAGCGTTTAAAGAGGTTCCAGTCAAAGATTGACTTACACGAAAGTGAAAAATGCAATTTAACAGACTCTCAAAAGTTAACATGATCTTGAGAAATCCAACTTCAAATGATTAAGTAAACTTGTCGCACTAGAATAAAAAAAATTAAATTGAGATTATAATATAGCATATCCATAATACATTTTAATGTATCCTTAAATATTTTTTTATATTTAAAGAACATTTAAATGTACGTTAGTGCTGTTTTAAGCTTTTAAGCTTTAATGTTTAAGAAGCTACTTATGGTAATAATATTTTCATCAAGATACCAACAGTAAAATCAAGAGTTTTGTAGTTTCGGGAATATCCAACCTTAAGTTATTTTCCCCCACAAAACCAAGTCGTCAACGTCTGTCCAAGAGAAATGGTTAACAGGAATAAGCTCGTTTCTCCTTGATGCAATAACGTTGCATTGGGCTATAATTGTTGTGGCCCAGTGAAGCGTTCCCATCTCGCGGGAAAATTGCATTAATAATGTCGCAGGATGGGTTGAATGAGAACAACAGCGGCGAGTGGCACTTTCGGCTGCATACTTTTCGGGGGCTGAATTTAATATTTGGCTATAATTATGCGAGTGCGGGGTGCGTATGCGTAATACACCCAAGGCAGCGATTGCATATGCAAGAGTGCGAGTGCATTTGCCATTATATTGCATAATTTATGCGCCCATTTAATTAAATTCCAGCCCTTTCGCTGCTTCTACCCACCGTTGACCCAAATACCCGTCACAGACACGCTTAATGCCTGCTTAATTTAATAAACTAACAATGCAAAAAGAAAACATTAACTGTCAAAATAGCTTTAAATTAATTTCAAGCTTCATGCCCAATTTATCACCACTAAAAAAATAATACTAGCTCTTAAATTTTCCAACTGTGGTAATTTTTACGAAAAACCCACCAATAATGTGTGGAAAGTTAATTGCATTTAATGAGCATTAGAGGGTAAGCGGATTGTAAATGCTGTAAAGAGCAAAATTAATTTGCAATTAAATAAGGATGTCTGACTGCAATTAGTGTATATATAAACTCTATGCTATCAGTGAAATTTTATAAATCTTTTACCACATGAGAAACTTTATAGAAATTTTCCTTTTTTAATTCGATTATCATAAATATATTTAACACATGGGTAAGGGCTTTGTCCCGTGCACTTTCTAATTTAATAATATGTAAATATATTTTAGACTAATTTAGTGTGGAGCCCTAGGGCCACTGAAAATGTTTCAATCAATACGCAACACGCACAAATTCAATTAAATAAAATAAATTTTTGTTACTAATTTATAATTATTGTTTTGACTATTTTCTGATTTATTTGCAATTATGTACGAATATTTTACTTTCTGGCTACCCCTTGTGTAATTCTGCTGATTATATTATAATGTTGTAAAGAGAAAAAACATGAAACCACAATTTGCCGACGGAATTATTTATGTCCTTTAATGAAACTGATGAGGAAATTATTTTGCCTAATTTATGAGATAAAACGATGAGGACAAATTCAATTAAGTGTTTAGAAAAACCAGCAGCAAAAGAGTGATTTGGAAAGCAGTCGAGGCGGTGACCGCAGCTGTGGACAATTTGCATCAGCATTAAATGCAATTAATGTATAATGATGACACCGGCATGGCGTGTAAACTGAGATGATGCAGAGATGGTGTAGTGTCCTTGACAAGTTGTCCTGCCAGCTGAACTTAATGTCCTTTGCAGAGGAGACAACAAGGGACCGTCCGGCAGGGAAATTAGTTACGGTATCGCACAAGGACAAGACCAGGACTCCCGACTCCGGACTCCATCCTTCGTCCTTCGACCGGCGACCATGTGTGAGTGACTTAGTGCCCCGCATGCTTGATCCGTCATCATTAGTTGAATATGTCACAACAGACACTTGGCCCAATTGATTTAGTGTCCTGCACTGAGCTCAACAGTTCACTTGCCGCCTGCCATTTGGCATCTACAACTCCTGCCCGTCTTAACCCTCCGAGTTGTTGGCCAACATTCCCTGTTGACACACTCCGTCCAAAGATCGATGGCACACAGAAGACAGCGGCAAGTGAATTTCAAACACTAACTTAATTAGCTCAGGGCTTAATCAATCAAACACCCGGACAAATATCAGAGCCAATCAGGCATTCGGAATAGAAAATGTCCTAATTTGATGATTTTATTTTCATTTATATTGAACTAAATATAGTCTTGAGTTTCTTTAATTAATAATAAGATTTAATTACAGTTTACTCAAGTGGCTATCATAGCTTTAGCCAACAAATGAATTGAAAGTAAGTTCTGCAAAAATAACTCAATGTCAATAGACCATATCCTTAACGAATGCACTGCATTTAATTACAACCGAACAAACATTCCGATTAAAAACCTTACTCCACTTCTTTCCAATCCTACGACCACCAACCTCCTTCAACTTCTCGATTTCCTTAAGAAATCTAACTTGTTAAACCTCTTATATTAAAGATAGTTCTTTAAAACACCTGGAATGTACTTTATTAATTAAGAAGCGAATACCAAAATGAGTGAATTATACCCTTAGTAATTAAGCCAGCCTAAAGCCTAAGTGGCTATGGCTGCCTATCCCTGTTGCTTTAGTTCTTAACTTTAAGTAAACAGTATGTAAATAAATAAAATAATAAAATTATTTTTGCTGTTTTTTAATTTGTTTGCTCTATTTTGCTGTTTTAAAATACTTTTGTTGAAGACAATAAAAAAAAACATTCAATAAATTATAAAATAAAAACATTTTAATATACCGAATAGTACCTGCATCTATTTTTGTTGATGCATTTTTACCAAGTGTAAAACAGACAGCAAGGACCAATAGTTAGGCGGCTAACAACTTGAATACTAATGACCTGCTGACCTCTGACCACTTCAAAGTTAGCCGTCTGACAAGCCAAAATTATAATTCCACCGCTCGCGTAATTCGCACAAACGTCAGTCTCATTAATTTTGGGCAAGCTGCAGTTTTAAAATTTAGTGCCGACCCCCAAGTTAATTAACACCTGAGCCCCGGCAGCGGCCGCCAAAAAGGGCGGGAAAATCGGCCGGGTGGGAAAATCGGGCGGTTGGCAGCCACTTCAGTCACACTTTTGTGCTCGGCAGCCGTGTGCACTGACGCAAAGCGGAAGTGGCACTTTTACCCAGCTGAAGCTGGAGCGGAATTCAAGTTGGAACAGGAGCAGGAGCAGAATGGTGAATGGGGAACGGGTAACGGGGAGCAGGATCGGGAGCTGCCAGCAGCAGGCGTATCGAAAACCGAAACTTTTGATGGAAAAAGTTTGCAACAACAAACGCATGTTGGCGGGCAAAACAGGGGAAAATGCTGAATAGCCGTGGTAAGAGCGCCTTTAAACCATCAAGTAAGTCGCTATAATTCGCGCGCACCGCCTCATGAATTTTTGATTCTTTCTTTGCATTTTTCACTCCGCCAGTCATTCTATCGCCTTCCCTTTAATCTGAGTCTCAGGTTTGAATAATGAGTCTTGGCCAAGATGCTCAAAACTGGGCCACAAGCGTGCGAGGCTTAAATATATACGATGGCTTTCCTCAATCGGATTACCTTCGCTGATATACAAATTCACAAATTACTTAATTTTATGAAATTGGTGTACAATTTGCACTTACAAAAAATTGTGTTTTAAAATTATTAGAATTTTTTGAAACAGTAAAAAAAATTTAAATTTTTAAATACAAAAATAATTCAAGTTTTAAAATATTAAAGCATAAACAGAAGTTTTAAGCATTACATTAAAATTTAAATAACTAAATTGGGTTTTTTCGTTTTCCATTTTAAAAACGGCTAATTTGACTATCAAGCTATCCAATCAAAATATTTTAGCAAACCCATAGGATATCATTGTTTTCTCACTCTAAGCAGATTTCAAAAATAAACACCAAATCGGAACGATTGACTCAGAACGATTTGCGTAATTGTTGAGCACAGAAAAAAACTGAGTTGCATCAAATAAAAGTTTTGTGGAAGCACAAGAAAGAAACTAAAAATGCAACACAGGCAACTTTGTTGGATGTTTTTTTGATTTTTCTTGCTGATGCTGCATTTTCTTTGAAGCCACTGCCTGCTGCATGCTGATGACTTTGTCAACAACTTAAATTGTTTGGCGGCAATAAAATGGATAAAAGTTTAAGCACATTTGGGGCAGTAAGCGGCTTCCATTTACTTTTGATGTATGCAAAGTTCGCCCACTTAAGCCAGATATGATAGCATAATATAATAAACTCAAATTTGATTAGTTTCACCATTTTTAATTCCAGCGCTTGTAAATATAAATAACCACAACTAACGAAATCATGCAAAAGTTGTACAGAACGCACATCCATAATCCAACAAAATTACAGTTCTGCAAAAACGTATAGGGACTTCGTTCTTCTATATTGACAACATCGACTTCAATGTTGGGTTGTTCTGCGTCACTTTCTTGAAGATGGTGATCCATTTCAATAATCCTATAACTGTCATCCTCCAACAAAACATCCTTGTCTTCCCTTGAAAATATACAACACATCACACTTGTATTTCTAAAGTATTTTAAAAAATTGTAATATACCTCATTCTGTTTGGATTTACTATGATCTTTTCAGCTTCAAGGCTCTGGATAAACTGAGAATTAGGATAGAGCACGTATCTTACAAAACTCAAGTACGTACCAAAGTCTTCCAAGAAATCAAGATTCAATTAAAAAGGCTACACTGGCCGACAAAAAATGTGCAATATACATGCAGTTTTGCAGAATTTTAAATTAAGTATGTATACAATTAAATAAAACTAAAAGTCAGAAAACCGATAATATAAGTTTATCTATAATTAGTAGAAATCTGTACTATAGCCTAGTGAGCATATTTATAAAAATAAAATAAGATATTATCATTTCATTATTTTTTTATAATGTACCTACCAGCATAAGTGATAAGACAAATAATGAATTAAATTTTATAAAAACCAAAACTAAATAAATACTTGAAATAGTATTACCGATTTCAAAGAACCCTCGTTAAGGGTATGTGGAAAACAAACAAAAATTATCAGAGCGTAAAACTGACAGATCTTAAGAGAGCCACAAGAGAGCTGGAGCGTATTATATTAAATATTGAAGAACCCTTTAAAGAATATAAGATAATAATGATCGACATTTTTAAACCCATACTTTATAAATAAACCATGTTCTAATGATTTCTTATCGGAATCAATAGAATTTAGATGATATGTTTGCAAAGTTGTTAGGCAGTGATCTCTCTTTGCAATCTCTTATTTTAAAAGATTTTCTTGTCACCCTTGGTCTCTTCCTCTCTTTTTTTGACGGGTTTCCTAAGACTTATATAGATATCTTATCTGAGTCAGAAGCAACACAAAAAGATTGTCAGCACTTGACGGTTCTCTGTTTGCTTTGTTGTTGCCTCAATTAACACCTTTTGCCGTGGCGATAATAACGCAGACCCCAACTGATTGGTAATCAAGAAAAATAAAAAGGGAGAGAAAAAATCGGTGAAAATACCCGGAGGCCAGCGAATCGCTCTTTAGTCAAGCGAAGAACGCGTTTCGATATGGGCACGGATGAGACAAAGGCCGGACCCTCGAGTCCGGGAAAGTACCTCGATGAGGTCGACTTTACCAGCGGCTACGAGACCCAATACCAGAAGGAGTACAGCCCACTAAAACCGATCTTCGTACCACCGCCGGATGCAAAACACGCCTGGTTCCGCAACTGGTCCACCATCCTGATGATCGTCTTCCTTTCCCTGGTCTTTTTCATTGGAACTGTGATGCTGGTGGTCCAAGTTTTCACCACCAGTCCCCTGCAGATCGCGATAATTGTGGCTGCATATTTGGCTATTGCCGCCCTTATGATCTGGCTGGAGGTTCAGTCCCGAAAAGTTCGGTGAAATCAAAAATATTGTGACTAATTGGCTGCGCTATCGCCTAAAAATGCCGTTCTATTTTTCAACGGCGGCAATCGAACTGTGTTGTGCAAACAAATTGAAGCTTAACTAAAAAACTAAACGTCTTTACTGATTAAGCGAATTAAAACGAATTAAAAAACCATAATTTAAAATAGGTTTAAAGTAAAGAAAAATATCCAGAAAATCCATGTGTTTCATTCTTGACTAGACTGTGCTTATAATATTCCGTGACAACCCATAAATTAACGTAATCTAGAGAGCAAAAAAGTTGGCCCGATAAAGGGCTTTGTGCCATTGAAGTGGCCAGAGAGATAAGCAAACAAAAGTTAATGGAACAACAATGAATTACTTGCAACAGTTTGAGCCATTTAACTGCAGAATAAACACGCATTTTATATGACATTGACGTGGAAATAAATTCATTATTCATCAAACAGATTAACAAAGCATGGCAAATACAATAAATGCTTACCAATTAACTATTTAAACGAAGTACGGTAATTCGAATTTAATTACTAGGTGTTCAGTAATGGATAGTGCTAATTGTATTAGAGTAAAGCAAAACTTTATTTGTTAGAAGTGAATAAAAATTCAGAATATTTTGATATCATCTGTGTCTGGTTTTGACACACAAAATTACTTATACTCTCGCTTTCAAATGAAAGCCAACAATTTCCAACTTCCACATTCCCCTTAGAATTGGTTCTCTAAATATTTCCACATGCACATATTTCTAAATCACTTCTGTAATTGCTTTTCACATCGCACTGGTGGACCGCCCTCATACCTACCAGAAAATTTCAAAATTTCCCATGTTTTCACAACAGTTTTTTCTCCCCCAACTTGTGTGTCATCAAGTTGGTAAATTTTAGTTTAATAGCTTGAAATGTTAGGAACATTTGGTCAGCGGAAAAACAGCCGGACAAGCTCATTTTGCACTTGAAAATTCTGAAAAAAAATAGAAAAGGACAGAAAAGTCGCCCCATTAAACTTTAATTTCCGTTGACAATGGACGGCAGTTTTTGCTCATTCCACTTATTTTTTTGCTACCACTCGAGACGACGGCAACAGCTGACTTACCTTAATTACTCACAGGATTCGGAGCCATGCTAATTATTTGCAGGGTGCACTATTTCGCGGACCAGACGGAGACGCAGGCAAAGTGGAGAACGTCGCCAGCGCATTTAATTATAATGGCGCGAAGGGCGCTGGCTTAGGCATTAATGCCATTTCCGGTCGCCGACCACCGGAGACTGGGGCGAAACCTGCCGGGCAACACTTTATTTCTGCATCAAGCAAAAACCTTGGGTTGGGGCCAGATACCCTGGAAATTGTGGGGGATATACGCCAGATATGCTGCAATATAAGCTGAAATATATAAATCTTGGTTGCTGAAATAATCCAAAATAAGGTTTTAACATTATAATCGTGTTACTTGAAAAAATCGCATATTTTAAAATTTAAAAACTGCTTTTTCTAAAAACCCTTAATTGGTTTAAAAATGTTCTATTGGTGTAAAACTGTAACATTGTTCAGCAGAGCTATTGTCTACTCCCGCATTATGAGACGCTGCTAATCGCTGCTATATAGAAATGTTTAAAATAATTATAAATTATAATTAGGACGATACAAAAATTAAAAATATATCTAAAAGATATATAAATGTCTTAAATAATAATAAACTGAGTTGCCTATCAGTTGGGAATATTTTCGTCAATGCCCTAAAAAAAATATTTTAAATTTGTCTTGGCAGTGACAAAAATCCAAGAACATAAAGGCAAAAACGCTTTAATTAAAGTTACCTTCAAAGCTATGTGTTTTTCAGTGGAATTTATTGCTGTTGTTTGTTTTTTAAATGCAAAACAACCTTGAGCAAAGGCAAGGCAAAAAATATTCGATATGCACATGCATTATTTTGCATTGATTTATTGCTCGATTGCCTGCTGGCTCAATATTGCACATAAAAGGCATTTAAACAAAAGCTGTCTTCCATTTTATTCCTCTCACTTTTAAATATTTAAATCATAGCATTTTGCACTAGCGAGCACAAGCTCCATTATTCAGAGTTTGAACAAGCCGGCGAAAAAAGGACACAAATGAGAAACTCGATTGCAGATAGCAAGTGAAGGACAACTGTGGAAATGCAAATAAAATGTTTGGCTGCAACACAATCCTAAGCTGCACTGGGGAGCCAAGACATCTGATTCCACTGCCATTTTGGCCACTGCCTGGGGAAATGTGTCTTAGAAATTCTTTAAATAAATCTCACTTGAACGCTTTTCATTAGGCCACTCAACAAGGACGAGCCAGCAGAACGGAAGAAGTGGAGTTAGTAACAAGAAAATAAATAACATTTCCATGCCTGACCCTAAAGCGTTTGTTTATAAATCAACGAAATAGAAAACTAAAGTACTAGTTAATGCACAACATAAATTTAAAGTACTGAGTTGAACTATTGCATAATTCAACACTTAATATGAAAAGTTCGTTTAAAATTTATCATAGATTTCGCTATTAAAAAGCACTTTTTCAGTCCAACACTCACAAAGCCCACAATACATGACAATTTTATGTTAATTATTTATGTAAATTTTCCATACTTAAGCGGTCTGATTCTTTTTTGTGCACATGGTTTAATTTAATTACGACAAGAATTCAAAGTGATACCGCACTAATAAAAATTTCACAATTTAAATTGAAAAATGCTTTTTTTTTGCTTATAGTTTTTAAAGCTCGTCAAGGCTTAATTTAAATCAAAACAATAGAAGTTCTTTGCTTTAAATTAAAGCGGGACGAAGGACCAGTGAGCTCTTCCATTGGCAAGCCAGCACCCATTTGAATATTCAATTAAGTCTAACTGCCAATTCAGTGATAAGACCTCCTCTGAGTTAGTTCCCACCCTGAACTAAAGCCAACTGTAAGGCCTCCTCAAATGGCCTCGGAACATGGCCTACTGGTGATAATTTCAGTTAATACCAAAAAGGATGACAGTTAAAGCGTGGGGAAGAGTTCACTGAGGATCAGAAATATACCCTGATGTAAAAAATCAATTTAAATATTTTTTGCCACGTTTTTCATCCATTGCGTTTCTTTGTTACTTTAAAAATTAAAATAATTAATTTAAAAATTATAGCTAATTTTAAAACTTGAATTTAATAAGATATAATTGTATTTAATGACGACATCAAAACTAATTGATTTAAATATTTTCAAATTAAATCTCTCAATTTATTATTTTTTGTATTGATATACATAAATATATACATATATATATATATATTCAACATTTTAAATAAAATATTCAAATAATTTTATTTACTATTCCATTTATTTTTATTATTGTATTTGTAGAAGTTTTCCGTAATATACATATTATTTCAAGGTAAGAATTTTTTTAGTCTATTTTGAATTAATTTTTAAGAAGGAATATGATTTAAAAAAAAAATAAAATATTTGTTAAATCTGCATAATACCATTTCCATAAACTGAATAATTTTTTTTAATATGGACCAATTTATTTTTGAAGACAGTGAAAGCTTATCCAACTTTGAGGTACTTACCCTTCCCCGCAGCAGCTTTTAAATCAAGTGAATTTGTATATATTGTGCCTGGGATATTTTCGGTAGAGTAACGAGCATGTCAAAGCATTTTTGTGACATCTTTTATTTATTCTATAACCAACAAAAGCCAACAGTCGAGAGGAGGCAAACGGCATGCATAAATTACCGCAGAGCGACACGAAGACCAAAGTCCTCCGGATTCTGTTCCCGGTGGCCAAAGCCATGGCCATTGCCATGCAATGCAGAAATTGTGTTGAAATATTAAAAAAGAGGCCAAAACTGTGAGAACTGTGGCCAAATGCAGATGAGCGGGCACAAAAATCTTTCCCCATTCAACTTTTTGGACACTTTTCGAAGCCCCCTTCTTCGGCACTTTTATTTTGTTTTTTTTTTGCCTCTTTCATTTTGTATTTGTTGAATGCTAAAAAGGCCACTTTAGTTTTAACCACAAAGTTTGCTTTACTATGTGTGTGTGTGTATGTTCGGTCGACCTCGTTGCACTTTTGTTTTTGGCCAAGGGGCATCGGTCTTTCATGTCATTTAACCATGTTTCGGCCAGGACAATTGGGCTCGGATCCTGGGGCCCCAGGATCTCTACGCAGCACGGCGTTGATTGCCAGGCATTTAAAGTGTTTTCAATGTAAATCTATGTAAATACATGTTGCCAAATAAAAGGCGAAAGACTCTCGGCTGAAGTGGAAACTCTCGTCTGGATAAATGGTATAGCCATATTTATTCGTTGCCCATGTGTTCGCCCCTCAGACGATTCCTAAGACTTTAAGCCACTGGCTGCCTAAGCTCTGCGGCATATTTATGCACATTTTTTCGGTTCGTATTTTGCTTTCATTTCTGCACTGTTTTTAGTTCGCTTTCGATTTGTTTGAAAAATCCTTGAATCGGTCGCATTGATTGGACGTCCTTGCGTTTGATTGTTTTATTTATGTGCTTTGTTTATATTTGCTTTCGGTGGCACCTACTGCATTTAATGGCATGAAAATTAATTTGACATTTAATACGGTTGTTTTAATGGGCGCCGTGCGGATTTTTTTCCATATTACTTATTCATTGTTTTTATTCTTACGAAAAACAAACAAATTGCTGGCACATATTTTATGGATTGTTTTTATTGTCACATGTCGCCCACCAGTGATGCCTGCGCATTATAATTATGAATTGTGCAAATACATTTCGCAAGTAGCGAGCTGTTAATGTGTTAATAATTGCCACCCAAAAGCTGTTCAATGTGTTGATGTCTTGTTATTCTGCCTGTGCTTGATTAATTTGTTATTAAGGAAAAGTGGGGAAAAGAATGGACTGAAATATAGGTGATAAATTTTAATGATTATAAAGGGCGCAAACAAATTTTTCAGTATTAATTTATACCCCTTATTGAATTGGTATTCAATATAACAAAATAGTCAGTTATAAAAGATATGTATAATATGTACATGTTCAAGTAAACATCTAAAAAAGGTGCAGATAAATATGACATATTTAACATACACAAGTACACACCTAAGAAAAGGTGCACAAAATATTTAAAAATTTTAAGTCACCAGAAAAATAACAGATACTTATAATTAATATATTTACATTTTTTTTAAGTCTTACATAAATTGTAAAATAATTGATATTCTATAAATCGATGTTTAAAGGCTTACTAAAATTATTATTTATTTATTTATTGCACACTGTAGCCAAAAGATTACAACTTAAGGTAATAAATCTTAAAACAATTTTTTTAGCTGTAACTTAATAGTATTATTAAATTGGTATTAGGTACATAAACCATTTTCTTCTTATTTTTCAGTGATTTTAAATTAAACGTACATATTTCTAAAATTTTAAAAAAAAAATTGTTATTTTTATTAGTAGTAATATTCGTGCAATAACATTTAATTTTTTCCTAGTGTTTGAACGGTTGTTCCTTGCATTTACTTTACAGTCAATATATTTCGTTTACAGTTCGTATACGTAATATCTGAAAACATTCTACTGGGTTTGCGTCCCAACTGTGGAAGTAAGCTTTATTTATAAACTTTATT